GTTGGTTAAACATATCTGGTTGCGTAGCAGTTGTGAGTTCAATCATCGCATCTGGTAGTGCTAAAATGTCATATACTTTATTTCAGTCGAAGAAGCGGACAAGTAACACACAGCGGATAAAGACTGATTTATATGTAATGATATGTGTTATCTTCCCTAAACATGGAAAGCGAAAAGGGAACTCTCATTCTACGTGTGGAGTTTGTTTTGAAATATAATTTTATTTGTTTTCACCAATAACCAATAAATTATTTCAAAAATATAGTTAGTGAAATGATTATCTATTTTTTATTTTATATTGAAATATACAACTTTATATGATTTCTTACAAATAAAAAAACGCTAGGAATTTAAAAAAAAAATCAGTCGAAAGAGCCTTATATTCCCTTGAAATTTACAACTTTAATAATGATTTCAGGACTTTCCCCGCTACTTTGTGCAAAAAGGCCATATAAAAAATATATATAAATTGTAAAAATAATATATATAAATATAAATGGATATAAATCCGACAGAATAAATGATAATATCTGGAAAAACAAAACAAAAATCCTTAAAATGCGATTATGTTGTTTTAATATGAATGAAATGTCGACGTCTGACGTTTCGGTTTAATAACCTTCTTCAGGACAATATTCATTAAAAATACTATTAACATAATCAGTATAACACGACGAAAACGATGGACATAAAAACAAGTCTTATCTTTATAAAATTTTTAAGAATACGTTGTGAAAGGAAAGCGTCGCCCATTTGACGACAACGTGACCACGCTCAAACGGAAAAGCTGATCATTTAAAATTTTCCTTTATCTGTTTTGGATAAGACTTGTTTTATGTCCATCGTTTTGTCGTGTTATACTGATTATGTTAATCGTATTTTTAATGAATATTGTCCTGAAGAAGGTTATTAAACCGAAAACGTCAGACGTCGACATTTCATTCATATTAAAAACAACATAATCGCATTTTTAAAGATTTTTGTTTTGTTTTTTCCAGATATTTTCAATATATATATATATAAAACTCCATCAAGTGTCAAAACAAGCTTCATTTAATAAATATCAGGAAATTGAAAATTGAATAAAATGAGCAACGGAATATATAAAGATGAATTTTTCAGCTGTTTTTTTTTTTTTTTTTTTTACCGACAAATATCGTGTTAATCCCGAGAGATTAGACACGGATGAAGCAAAAGCTGAATGGCTATTGGTAGAAGCTTATCTCACACGTTAATACGTGAAGAAGTGGCTGGGATGTTTGAGGGAGTTTATAGGTAATATAATGTCGAATTTCAGATGTTATTAAACGAAGAGCTCAGATATATATATATATATTGAATTTTGAAAGCACACGTAGAGTTATAGCTCAAGAAGAAAAGAAATGTTATCAGAAAGAAGATTGTTTTTATATACAACTATGATTAATCATGTTTCTTTTGCTAACAACCATGTATTACGTCTTCTTACAATTGATGTTTAGTGCTTTCTTCTCGTTTTCCTTCTGTATTAAAGATACTAAAATCAAACAAGTACAAAATTTAAATATCTGGGAAGTGTTTTATCGCAAGACGGAATGTGTGATACCGAAATCCAAAGGCGTATTTGTATAGCGAAAGATGTCCCCCAAAAGTTAAGCAAAGTATTAAGAAACATAAAACAATTTGTTAGAAACGAAGAAAAGAGTACTGAAGTGTTATATGACATCAGTCCTCCTATATAGCAGTGAATGTTGGGCAATCTATTTACAGATGAAGAAGAATCTTGAAACACCAGAAATGTCGTTCTACATAAGAGGATACTAATGCACCGAGCATGTAAGCAACGGCATCCTTTTAGAGAAAATGGAAACAAAAAGGAAACTTATACTTAAAATCATGAAAAGACAATAGAAATTTCTAGGGCACAGAAATGTGGAAAAGAGGAACTTGGAAACAAATGAAAACAGCGCATAACCTACCTAGAGAGCTTAAGTAAATGGATGTCAGGACAAGATTTAGGAAAGATAACAAAAAGACAAAATTTATTAAGAGCTAGAAAGGACAGGAAATAGTGGAGAACCATGATTGCCAATATCCTGAAGGGTCACGATTCGTATGATTCTTAATCATATTCGTCACATAAAACTAATGAATATCTGAATGAAATGTGTTTCAAGGAAACTTATTTTATGATATATCCGTCTTGTCTTAATAATTTAATAATAACCGAAAAAAACTTTTGGAACATTCTGAAGAGGACGACAATTTAACAGTAAAAGTGAATCTCAGAGTGCAATTCTGGGTTCAAGGCATTCTGTTTCATATGCAAAAATATGCAAAATAAATGGAAGGAAAAATCGTTAAACCTACTTTCAGTATATTATGCATTTCAGAAAATTAGTATTTTGTTTATATCATTGTCGTCTGTTACTGTTTTCATTTGCTTTTCAAAACACGTTTTTTTGTAAACTTGGCAAACATTCGGTAATTATAATTTTAATTATAATATTTCTTTGACTTTCAGTAACCTGGATAATGTGCATTCAAACATTGTGGCATTGAACGGGAGGCATAAAGTATACTAAAATTTATACATATTATATAGAATGGCTTGAAGATTAACAGTAAATATTTCCGGGAATACCTTCATTAGTTTTCTTAAAATTAAAAGTAGGTAATCATATTTGAATCATCACACACACACACACACACACACACACACACACACACACACACACACACACACACACACACACACACACATATATATATATATATATATATATATATATATATCTCGGTCTATTCACATATATGCAACATTATATATTTATATATACGTATATATTTAATATATATATATATATATATATATATATATATATATATATTTAATATATATATATATATATATATAGAGAGAGAGAGAGAGTATGTACATATATATTTGTATATATATAATGTTTCCTAATATGATTAGCCATATGGGTTTATTTATATATATGGAAAATTACACACACACACACACACACATACATATATATATATATATATATATATATATATATATATATATATATATATATATATATATATCAGTGCATTTCTCTAAATGTATATATGTATATATTTAATATATTTCTTATACGTGCACGCGTGACTGAGTGCTTGTGAGTGGATATAACATGTATATGTCAAAATATATTAGTGCATTCCATATATTACGATTAATAAAATATGTATATATGTGTTTTTTGAGAGAGTTTTTTCACTGTGTCAGTTTCTATATATATATATATATATATATATATATATATATATATATATATATATATATATATATATATTTGAGGGAGTGTATATCTGTATTTGTGTATTTATGTGTGCATGAGTAGGCAAATATATGTATATATATGTACATATACATATATATAATGTGTATATGTGTTTGTATGTGAGATATAGATAGATAGCTAGATAGATAGAGTGAGAGGGAGAGAGAGAGAGAGAGAGAAAGAGAGAGAAACTAATCTCTTTCGTATGTTTTTATTCATAACTATTTTTTGACTTTGTGTTTTCTTCTCACCGCGTCTCCCGCCCACTAGACTGTCCCCACCTCCTCCCTACCATGTTCAGGAGAAGATAATTCATAACGAACTACCAATTAGCTCACGTTCCTGTCGGCTGTTAATTAGACTTCGTAAATCGACGAGATGTGAGATGGGCACAGTTAAGTCGACCAAGGTTGGTGTACGAAAGAAAAGCGAGAGGATTTTGCCAAAGACTTTTTCATTGTTTTTTTTTTTTTCTAATCGTTTTTATTTTGTTTTTCTTATACTTTAATAACTTCGAAGATTCCTGCATTTACGTCTTCTCAACGCAAATCTTCTTTACCTGGGCAGGATTTTCATCATTGTCTTCATTTTATTTTTCTTTCATTTCCTTTTTCTCCTCTTCGTATATTTCCTTCAACCCACAATATCTTCTTACTTCAGCCGATATATCTCATATGTCTGTCTCCTGTTTTCCATCTATCTGTTTTAAAAGGAATTTAAGCGATAAAAAATGGTTTCTTTTCTTTCTGTAGTTCTAAATTCATTCACATCACTTATTTTGTTTCTTACCTTTTGCTTTCTTTTCTGGTCTTTGTTTTTTTTTTTCGATGTTTTTTGTTTGTTCCTTTGTTTGTTTTTCATTCTCTGTCTTCTTTTTCTTTAATTTACTCTGTGTTCTTTTTTCTTCATTGCTTTTTTCGTTCATTCATTTTACATGACGTTTCTACGTTTCTTCTTTATCTTCTCAAAACTTCTTTTCTTCTTTATTCCCGCCTTTTTCTTTTCAAAACTTCTTTTCTTCTTTATTCCCGCCTTTTTCTTTTCAAAACTTCTTTTCTTCTTTATTCCCGCCTTTTTCTTTTCAAAACTTCTTTTCTTCTTTATTCCCGCCTTTTTCTTTTCAAAATCTTTTTGTATTTATTCTCAATTGACCCACCCTTCTTTTATTCATGTCCGCTTCTTTCATTTCCTTCTATCTTCCTTTTTTCCCCCTTTTTCTTTCTATCCTGATAGGGTTTTCCAAATTCTTATTATTTGTAATATTTAATTCTGAGAAACCGATTCCGCCTCTCTCTGTCACTTTCCCACTCCTCGTCCAGACGCCACCGTCTCTCTTCGCTCTAAGTAGCGCACTTGTCGACACCCTGTTCCTCTTTGCAGATAAATTGTGTCAGAATCCCTTAATTTGCCACTTCCCTCCTCATGCTCGTTCTCTTTGTTTTTGTTTGACGAAATTTACCAAATTCACCTTCTTACGACCGGGTACCAAGAGTATCACACCCGCATTCGACCGACGAACACTAAATCTTAACGCACGTCACTTTATAGATGATACTATTTATATAAAATACGCCCATATTATATAAGAGACATTATATATATATATATATATATATATATATATATATATATATATATATAAAGTTTTAACGCTCTATCTCTGATATTAAGCACGTTATACCATAAATATGGCACACCTTAAAACTATATTTCTTCACATATATATGTGTTTGCATGTGTGTGTGCGCATGCGCACAAATCTATCGAATGATAATATGGATCCCGCCCGACAGTATTGTTGGAAGATTGCATTGCACCAATCTTTCTCGTGGCTGTCATGCCTGCCTTCTATCTATCTATCTATCTATCTATCTATCTATCTATCTATCTATCTCCGTTTGTTCCTTTTTATCTATCTATCTATCTATCTATCTATCTATCTATCTATCTATCTATCTATCTATGTCTATTCTTTATCGATTTATCGATCTATGTCTTTCAGTCTATTCGTATCTATCTATCTATACAAATATTAATAGATAATACTGAAATACTATATCGCATTCACTGTATGGAAAAACACAAAATCCTCGAAGTCATTATTATACAAAATAAACAAACCGCATTAAATAAAATATCTTTCACCTCAGGAAATTGTATCTTGAAGTAAGGATGAAATATTCACAATGCGCATGTTAAAAAAAATATAGTACCGTTCCCTTTAACTGTTGAATATGACTGTTACTTTGGACTGATCCGAAACATTTAGCTTTCTATAAAATACCAGGATGTAGTCATCGGAAACTTGCCTACGCTAGTGGTAGCATATGGTTCTTGATAATGTTTGAGACGGTCGAAATTACTTGAATAACAACAGAGCAAATATGAACTTCGGACAGTATGTCCCCAATTTCGATCAGTGTATACAACATTTTATTACAAAATTGGAAAATATAATAAAAAATAAAACACACAGATATTTTTAGTTGAATTTAATAAAATTTATTTGTATATATATTAGTGTGTGTGAGAGAGCGTGTGTGTGGAGAAATGAAACAAAATAGAAAAACTTTTGTTAATGACAACTCGTTTCTGCGTGTGGTAGGTTGGCGTATTCAGATCAAAATGAAAGACAAAACTGTGTGTTTTTGTATTAAAGCCGTTGATGTCTGTAGGATTAAGCCACTCCGAATAGATATCTATTATTTTAACTATGAGCTCGTATACCGCAGTGTTCTGCTATTGCTTTTGCGATGATCGGTGTTGTTATGCATGAGCCTGGTCCTAGGTCTTTCGTTTAGAATTAGGAGATCAGCGTATTGTCAATGTAGTTAACCTCAACACATGTAGCCACAATTTCGACTTAATAAATGCCAGTCTGATCAAGAGAGATAAGGATTCAGTAAGAAGAAGAAAATGTATTGGAAAGGCGCTGATCTTACAAGTCTCAATTAAGACCAGACCCCTTTTTGTGATGAGCAATGTTGTATGTTAATGTCCTCTATATTTATTCTTAACTGTCATGTATGAGTAGTAGTCAGTATTTGTCATAATAATTGTTTCACCAAAACGGAAATTACTCATGACTTCCTTTCATGTATGTACACGTGTAAATGATGCAGGTATTTTGCAACTAAGTCCGCCAAAAAGCAACAATAATGGAGCGCTAGTGAGAATCGATTTACCTACTTTTCAAAGTAGTTAACAAAACATCACTTTACAGCAGACGCCCATTTGTTATGCCTAGTCTGGCATAAGGTTAGAATAAAAGAGCGACGGATGTGGGTTGGATTCACAATTATAGAATTGTAGAATAAATGCTTAACCCAAAGTGACGGTTACAATCTTGTTTTGCATAGCCGTGAGTTTATTTCTTATTAATATAATAATTGCAATAAATTTATCTTGTGCCAGAATTGAATAAATCATTAGCATGAAAAGAGGAATTGGTGAAAATCGTAATCACTACAAATATCGGTTGACATCAAACTGCTGAGAATCTTAACGTGGCGGTGACAGAAATAAAGTGTGTCTGCATTTGTTTGAATCAAATACACGTTTGTACGATCACATGTTAAGGACTCAGTATATGGTAAATAATCATATTTCTCTTACAAACAAATGATTGAAATGAGTGTCAGATGAATCTGGCGCTTGGCCGCCATCTTGTTTGCATCACTCAGGAATCTTTAATCCCCACCTCCTAAGCCATGACGTCGGCACTTATCGCCAATCTACGACAATTATTTTCTTTCGCCGAGACTAGTGGTTCCCATTTTATTTCTCTAGGCCGCATTTTCTCATGTGATAAAAAGTACATTTAAAAATAAAAAGGAGAGATGTTTAAGGGGAGATAACCGCGATTTCGAAGTCAGAATATTATCAATGAAAACGCTGTAGTTTATTACATTATTAGTATTTGATATAATGCAAAATATCCCAGTGATAAAATCGCTCAATAATTACTAATAACTATTTATACTGGGACTCATGCATATAATTACAATTAATCAATAATAATATTTTCAATTTTGAAATCATATTTATTTTTGGCATATGAATTTTTTGTAACTGTTTCTAAATCATTGATTGTCTTTCAATCATTCCGCCTCACCTGCTATCCTCTTCCGTCGCACCTGTGAGGCGCGCAACATCGATTGGGAACCACTGCCTTAGACTATCATCT